AGAAAAAAAAATTTATAATAAAAAACAAAGTATAAAAAAAAAAAAAGGAGGGAGAAGAGGATAAAGACAGCAGTGAACAATAGAGAGGCAGGATGTTAATGAGAAATAGATATGGTTTATTACCTGTTGATGATGACATGTATAGTATTCTCAACTGAACCGGTCTGGGAAATATTTCATGATGGGTGAAGTCTCTTTAATAAGCAAAATGAGAAATAGTGATTGACTGTTTAAAAAAATTATAATAATAATTATTGGGAAAAGCATGGAAAAGATATTGAATGATAAAGCGGGGAGATTGATATCTCTGTATTGACTGACATGCATGGCATTCCCTTTTGAAAAAGCAATGGAAGTCAATGTAAAGTTATATGTAATCTAGTGTAATAGAAAGAAGATTATGATGATAATAAAATAAAAAAAATAAAAAATAAAAGAAAAAAAAAGAAAAAAAAAGAAAAAAAAAAGAAAAAAAAGAAAAGTATCTAAAAATGACACAAAGAATATCCATGAGATTTCAGGAATATCATATTCAGCAGAATGAAGCCCTGCCAGCCAAAGCAGGACTCCTCGGCCAACCACAATAGAGAGGCCTAGATGGATGGACTATCAGTGAAAGTGTGCCAAGTATTGCACTGGAAGTGAAGATTCATCTGATTGAATCCCCTGAAAGCAGTAGTCACCATGTAAACTGTCGGTCACAACTGTTTGGCAAACAGAAACCACCGGAGAAAAAAAATCACTATATACCAAGGATAATCAAATAGAAGGTCTTATTATTAAATGAAAATAATACAATGCAACTTTTGTTGAGGCCTTAAGATTCAGCAGCATTGTCACTTGATTAGAAAAATAAGTGATTGTTTCTTCAATCATGACTGTTAATTTTAAAGCAAAATATGTGTTCAACCATGAAGGAGATAGAAAAAAGATTTATTACTGAACATGAAATAAATGGAAATCTCACTGAACAATTGTTTATGCTATATAGCACCATATATTCTGACTGGACTGTGAATATGTTGAAATGTTTTCAGTCGCCATCATCCTCCAAGTATTCCTGTTCATTCATGTCTGCCTCAAATTGCTGGTAAATGCATAAAATGGTTATATGCAAGAAAAAAAAAAGACAACATGGATCAAATTAATCATCAGATATCAAAGCAAGGGCATGTTCTATCAGTAAAAATTGAAAGTGGACTTTGAAAATGATGATGTTTATGCTAACTAATGGAGGAACAGAGAACTGGCCTTTTATATATACTATCTACATGCTAGGTTTTAGATATAATCTCGGACTTAACAAGCTGCAAATCATTCAATGATTTGTGACTTTTAATGAAAAGGTGAAACAACTCTTTCGCTAAGATGATACATATGTACTTAGTAAATTATCAAATATCATGAAAATGTAAGGCAATAAGTCACTATTAGGTCATTGGGAAAGTCGTGATGTGTTTTTCTATGCAAATATGCTTCTCGACTTTCCCAGTGATCCAATGTTTCATCTTTAAAGCAAACATGTAAAAATATCTGAGAAGTAAAACAAGCACAAAGGGCATTTTCCTTTCTTTATTACTGTTATGTACTTTATTCAGAACAGTCTAGGGGAAAGTAGAACATCACATGAATAACATTAGGAGATTTCTGATTTTATATTTGTTTTTGGAGTTTGATAATAATATTTACCTTAAACTATAATACCTAATTTCTATTTCTACAGCACTCTCAGATCTTCTTTATATAGATGCACCCCCCCTCTAGCCTCAAAAAAAAAAAATTACACCATATGCAGTTTTATGGGCTGTCGCAAGTTAAATTTCATTATTTTTTCGGGTTTACTTAGTGGGTGAAAACATTTCAGCGTTAATAATTCTTAGTTTCAGAAAGTCTAGCTTTGAATTCTAACACCCAAACCACAAAATTTCAAGTTGTGTTCCATTCCCAGCTTCAGCCCCACTGGTGGTTAGAAAGAGAAAACATGCCAAACCAAAACAGTCTAAGTTACTTGCTTCTTGGGAACTCAGAGTGAACACAATATTCACACGCACAAAACACCAGTAAAATACAATTAGCTTCATCCAGTTAGAGCTGATGTTTCAACTCTGCCTGAAAAACATAAAAAAAAAACTAGAAGAAAATTAGTTATGAAGGTCACTCAAATATCATCAAGGAAGCAAATATTAGTAATTGGTTTGAAGGAGAAAGGAAAGTATTCTCAAGAAAATAAAAGTCTAATTATACTCAAGTAAAACTTAAGCCTACTCACTTTAATCCTAAATGAGATTGCACAGTTGAGATGACTGGCTCGGTTAGGACCTAAAATCTTACCAAGTCAACTTCCCCCACATTTAAGATGAGAGCAACAGGATAGAACAGTCTGCCAAGCTAATACTTAGCAGAAGAAACTTTAAGGACTGCTGGCTCTGTGGCTCTGACACAAGAGAGCATATGGAAACTTCGTATCATTTTTTTTAATGACCCTAGGCATCTAACCACCTTTCTCCATTTATTCAACAATTATGTAGAAATATGATTAGGTCTTTGGACCTACAGAATTCATATTTAAAAATAACTACCTTTCTAAATCCTAAAATCAAAACAAAACACAACAAAAAATCTGCTGGGTCTGAGACTTGAACCACAGAGCTAGCCACGTGGGAGCCAATCTCAGAGGCCAGGCTGTACTTCACTTTGTGAGAGGAATCTTAATCTTAAATTACTTTACATTCACATGTGGAACAGTTTATGTCTTGGGCTCTCTCCAACACTTCCTCTTTATTTTTAAAGACTTATTTATTTAATTTTATTTACTATTATTTTTTAAGACATTTTTGCTCTAGGGCACATGCACTTGAGAGAGAGAGAGACAGAGACGATGAGAGGGGAAGTGAGAGATCACTCCTCCCGCAGAGGGGATGGCCACCCTGCAATCCCTTCTCCATTCTCCTCCCAGTATCTCGGGCAAGCATGCACATGTACCCGGCATGAGTTTCAAGTCATCGAATCCACAACTCAAACCACGGCCAGCTATGTGTGAATCCCGCATCATAGCCATTATGTCATCTGCTTGCCCCCTAATTTTATTTATTTATTATTATTATTATTATTATTATTCAATTTGACCAGAGAGAGAGAGAGAGAGACAGAGAAAGCTAGGAGAGTGAAAAGCCAGGTCTGGGACTCAATCTGCCGTCAGCCATGTGGGAGTCCAGTGCCTTACCCACCACGTCATCTTCCGGCCCCTCCACCACTTCCTCTATTTCATATTGAAAGCTGTCACTTTTTGAAGTAAATGGGAAGGGAGGGAGAAATAGAACTGAGAGTAAAAGCAGGAGGCCATGGAAACAACAAGCACTCCAAATTGCACAGTTAACAAAAATCAAACAGTACCAAGGGACATACTTGTTCATTTAACAGCATTTACTGAACGTATGTCATATAAAGACCACAGGGAACCATTAGGGAGAAGATGTTTATTTATAAATTCCCTATGTATAAATCAGGGAATGAGTGAAGAATTGAGAATAACAATCCAATCAATCAAAGTAAAGTCTTACACTGTTTGGACACAGGCCTGGTTATCTTACGTTTCAAAATACTGGGGAGGGTAGACAAATCATTTCAATAGACCATCTTCAAGAGACACCCATCTGATGGACCGCGGTTAGCGTAATGGCTATGTTGCTGGACTCCCACGTAGTCGACCGCGGTTTGAGTCCTGGATCCGGTGGCTTAAACTCACACCGGGCACGTGTGCATGCATGCCCAGGATCCCAAGAGGAGAAAGGAGGAGAAGGGATTGCGGCGTGGCCATCCCCCCTGGGGGGTGATTTCTCGCTTTCTATCTCTCTTTCTTTCTCTGTCTGTCTGGTGAGCGCACGCGCCCTATAGCAAAAAAAAAAAAAAAAAAAAAAAAAAAAAAAAAAACCTCTCCAAAAAAAAGACATCCATCTGAAACCTCTTCCTAGTGTTCCCACTGCTGTTGCTGAACACGGGGCAGATCTGAGCCTGACATGAGCCTGGTGGGAAACAAGATTCACCTCTGCAAACCTCTGAGTGAGAAAAATAAATGCTTTCTACTGTTGTAAGCAATCAATAAAGCATCCATATCTTACACTTCCCTACTGTATATTTTTCTGATACATGCTGGCCCTTGTAGGCATATTAATTTAAATTCCTGCCTTATCTCCTGTGATTGTGTAGGCCACCACTAATCCTGCCAATGAGAAAGGAAGAAAAAAAATGCCATAATATGAATTGTTCCAAGGAAAACTTGGGATACTAAAATAGGACTCTGGTGGGACCACCAGATGGCATAATGGTTACAGCACTGGACTCCCATGTAGTTGACCGTGGTTCGAGTTCCAGACCCAGTGGCTGCAAACTCACGCCAGGTGCATGTGTGTGTGTGTACCCAAAGTTGTGAGAGGAGAATGGAAGAGAAAGGATTGCAGTGTGGCCATTCCCCTGGTAGGTGATTTCTCACTTCCTGTCTCTCTGTCTCTCTGGCAAGTGCACACACCATATAGCAAAAATCTCTCAGAAAAAAAAAAAAGGACTCAAGACTCAGGCGTCCTGCCTCTCTTGGAAAAGAAGGAGAATCACTTCCAAAGTAAAATTGCCCTACTTAAGGAGGACACTTGGTCCTTATGAACAAAATATAGAAATGACTTGGGAAATACAAATGAAATAGAAATGCGCTATGCTGTTTCTCCTTTTTTTTTATTTTTTTAAGAGAGGTTTTTGCGGGCCGGCAGGTGGCGTGGTGGTTAAGGGCGCTGGACTCCCACATGGCCAACCACGGTTCGAGTCCCATATGTGGTGGCTTGCTTTCTCACTTTCCCTCTCTCTCCTTGTCTGTTTCTCTCTGATCAAACTGGAAAATAAAGTTCAATAAAATAAATCTTTAAAAAAAAAAAAAAAGAGAGAGGTTTTTGCTACAGGGTGCATGTGCTCACCAGAAAGACCAAAAAGAGAGACAGAGAGACAGGAAGTGAGAAATCACCCCCTTGGGGGGATTGCCATGCCACAATCCCTTCTCCTCCATTCTCCTCTTGGGATCTTGGGCACGCACGCACACACGCCTGGCGTTGAGTTTAAGCCACCAGGTCCAGGACTTGAACCACGGTCGACTACATGGGAGTCCAGTGACATAGTCACTACACTAACTTCTGGACCCCTGTTTCTCATTTCATAAAGCAAGGATCTGAGTATAATTATCACTCTCAATGCTGCAAAGACTATGCAGGGCTTCATGGGTTTGCTCTCCCAGAGGTACTCTTGAACGAAGATATACAGATATTATACCTCTTTTGTCAACATGAGTTTGGACCAGTTTTCTAGTTCTGTAATCTCTAGATTATAATATAAAAATACCATTTTTGATGATCCTTTTAAGTACAACTTTAAGGGACCAGCAGTTAACATAATGGCTATGTTGTTGGACTCCCACGTAGTTGACCACGGTTCGCGTCCCAGAACCAGTGGCTTAAAACTCACACCGGGCGCGTGTGCATGCATGCCCAAGATACCGAGTGGAGAATGGAGGAGAAGGGATTGCGGCATAGCCCTCCCCCCGGGGGGG